GGTTTCCTTTTCCGAAGTCTGTCGCATGGCGTGGTTATTATTCCACAACGGCCTGGGATGAGAGAATGACTTGGCCTCAGCGACTTAGGTGGGGGGAGGGTGAGACTCCGGGAGAGGACAACTTTCGCTTTGACTGGGTAGTTTAGCCGCACTACTCACCCAGTCGGTGTCGCTGAAGAACAGCAGGCACTTATGGCTTGTGGTACGAGAACCAATCATGAATTTGAACCCTGATTTTCGCCGGAGTGATAAAATACTCTTCGGGAGCCAACTCCTCCTCCTCCTCCTCCTCCTCCTCTGCTCTATTTCTGGGGAAAAAAGAAACGAAAAAGTGGCGAGGCAGTTGCCTTCAAGTCACTGCACCACGAGGACAATCATTCTTGGATCTGAAGACAGCGGGATCTCGATGGTGGGATCTCGATCTGCCACCGGTGGGATCTCGATCTGCCACCGGTGGGATCTCGGTCCGAGTGCGGTGGGATCTCGATCTCAGTGCCGCTGGGATCTCGATCTCAGTGCTGCTGGGATCTCGATCCAAGTGCGGTGGGATCTCGATCCGAGTGCGGTGGGATCTCGATCCAAGTACTGGGATCACGATCTGAGTACTGTGGTATGTCACGTTGGGATCTCGATCCGAGTGCGGTGGGATCTCGATCCAAGTACTGGGATCACGATCTGAGTACTGTGGTATGTCACGTGGCCAGGTGGTCGGGGACGCCCAATTGCCGCTGGGATCCCGATCAGAGCGCCGCCCGGCCAAGAGAGGTTTCGGACCGTCGATGTTCGTTTTTGTTTTTGCTTTTCATTTTTTTTGACGGTCGATAGGTTTCAATACTGAACTGTATTTGTGCAAAAAAAAAAAAAAAAAAAGGCCCACGATAGGGGACGTTGCCAGCGCCGGTGACGTGGTACGGGGACTCCGAGGTTGTCGTGCATGCGATGCCCTTCTGTTTTTTATGTGCATGAATGCCCTTCTTTGTTGTTGTGCATGAGGTGCCCTTCTTTTTTTTTTTTGTGCATGAGATGCCCTTCTTTTAACTCACGGTAGGGCTTTTATGGATGATGTATCTGACCGAATTAAAGCGCGGCTTCTCCTGCACGCATGTGACCTCAATTACGACCAGAGAGGAGTCAAAAAAAGCGTCAGTCGTGGCCTCGATCAGCCGATGCAGGTTTTTTTTCCTTCTGCTTCCTCCTCTTCTTCTTCTTCTTCTTCTTCTTCTTCTTCTTCTTCTTCTTCTTCTTCTTCTTATCATTATTATTACAAAAGGGCGACGGCCTCGGGATACCTTCATCGATCGAGCCGGCCCTACATTTTTCCCTCGAATACAACGTACGGTCATTACAGCTGAATTTGGGGCATCTTTCCGTCTAGATACTGCTATAATGACCGTACGGTTTTTTTTTTTTTTTTTTCAAATTGCAACGTACGTTGTATTCGGTGGAAGAAGGTAGGCAGTTCGGAATGATTTTTTCCATTCATCAAGGTCCAGCAGGATTTGAACACAGACCAACAGTTTGTTTGTGGGTGTACCAACCAACTGCCAGTGAGCTAGGGGAGTTGGATGGTCTCGCGTTTTTATATGTCCCGCGCGTTTGCGAATGAACGAGTGTAATTCCGTCCTGTCGAAATTCGGTTTAGGGGGAAAGAAAAAAAAAGTTGGTTCCGTTGTTGTGACAAATGACATTTGTGTTGGACTGAAAAACAACTGACAGGAATGAATTGCAGTCGACGAAAAGAGAGGGGGGGGGGAAATTTTAAAAAATCGAAAAAGTACATGCAGGAAAGGTCTGCAGGGGCAAGGTCCCAGTGCACTAGCAAAATGGATCGGATTGAGCGGCTAAATCTGGATGACATTGTTTTGCGTAGAGATGCAGAAAAGCTGATCAATAACCAACTTCTGCACCTCTCCGCAAACACACGTCCATGTTCGGCCTTTAAATCCAATGCTCTGTGCTGGTGGGATCTCGCCCCAGCAATAATAAATTTTGCGAACGACTGCCATAATTTATTTAAGAAAATTATTTAAGAAAATTCTGAGAAAATGATAGCAGAGGGTAGCAGGGGTGGTGGTGCTGTCGAGAAACTCGGCGGCAATATCCTTCTTTCAGCTGGTCATTAATTACTATAAAATGGAGCATATGTGCGGTCCTTTTTTTTTTTTTCCTTTTTTTTTTT